AAAAAATCTTTAAATTTAAAATGGATGATTGTGTCTTGATATTTCTTGCTTAGGAACTCAGTTAAAACGAAATAGTGGACAAGATTGCCGATAACCGAAAAACATAATATTTTGTTTAAGTTAGTTCTCAACAAATAATGTAGATTATCTTTATCAGAAAAACCCGATTTGAGTTGAAAGATGTAGTTAAGTAAATAAGTTATTTTATTTTTGAAAATAATAGGAGCCAGCGAGAATGCGAACCTGGGACTTTGAATTTGTTAGTCAACTATGGTACTCAATGCACCACTGCTCAGACATTTTTTTGCGCTTCAATTAATAGTTTTCACTTTCAAATACAATTTTGTTTTCTCCTTGTGTAAACAGTAGTAACCTCGCGATCTAATAAAATTCGCAAACAAAATGACAAAGCCGAACTCTAGTATCAATATGCACATACATATATCAAATTAATAAGTTATTACTGTACTCCTTATAAGTAATGTTGTTGAATAAGTACAAGTCATTACAATGTTTTTGTTAGGAACTGCGATTTTTTAGAAAACCATACAGTAATATAAAAGTATACTAATAAGTTGATATCACTGTATATGTATATCAACCCTTAGATAGATATTCACCTTCCACCCCAAAAGTCTTTACACACTACAACACTACTACTACATACAAACTACGAGAACGACAACAAGAAGAACGAGAATAACATCGATACGATATAATACGATGGTTACCTTAACCTGTTCCAGTTAAGCTTTTACGCACAAACAGAAACGATTGATTATTATGTTGTGTATGTTGTTAGCTGTTGGTTGTTGTTAGTTGTTTATGTCATGTTGTTGTTCTTTTACGTCGTTTTGTTTTGCTTTGTTGTTTGTTTCTTTTGGCAATTGTTTATTTATTGTTTATAGGAAAGAATACATTTATGTATTTATTCGATTAGATGGATGGATGGGGGCATCATTACAATTTATTTTAACGCATACTCGACTCTATTTTATTTTGGTCTTTCTTTTTTGGGAAGAATTAGCAAAAACGAAAAAAAAGAGAAAGAGAGCAAGTGTGTGTGTTGAGTGTATTTGTGTGAAAATTTTTTCACGATGATGACAATGAGAGCGTACGATGATGATTTTTCTTTTGTATGTTAAATCCGTTTAGTAGCACAAGAACGAAATCAACCCAGAAATACTTGGCCCAGTATCAATTTGTACGTTTTCCCATAATGTCTGCCATAGATACGTGGACATCATCGTCGTTGTCGTGTACGGTAGAAGAACAACAGCAAAAATAGTTCTAATTAAGAAAAAAATTAAATAGAATGGAATAGTATAGTATAAAAATAATAATTTAGCAAAAAGGAAAATTCGCAAATAATTTGTATATAATATGAAAATTAACCATACGAAATCAACATTGCGTATTGAAAAAGATCAATTTTGAAAAAGGTGCCATTATTAAAACAAAAAATTAATGAAAAATTGAATTGAAAATTTTTAAAATTCTTTTTCTATTATACATATATACAGCATATATCTATAAGCTGATATTTATATGTATGTGTGTGTGAATCTGAAAAAATGTGCAAGTGTATGAGTGTACATATAGAATTTTCGCCCATATAGATACACACTAACTTTAACCACACGTTCTGTGTTCTGCGAATGTTTTCTCGAAAACGAATATAATGTCGTGTCGTGTTCTTCGTTCGTTAATGTGCTTTAACAAAATAGCCAGCCAGCCATCAAAACAGGCTGTTTTAATGTCGTAAATATTGTCGTCGGTCGTCGTAAAGTGCCCTGTTCTACCCAGAATAAAACAAGAAAAAAAATAATAAAATATAATGTGAAAAATGAAAACTAAAAAACAAAAAAATATTAATTCTGTTGTACTATTATTTATTTATAGTGATTCAGCAAACAAATATTCAAACAGCTACACAAATTAATCAAAACATCATGAAATTTCTATATCCAATTGATTTAATTTTCGTTTGAACAGTTGTTGGTTTTCCTGAAGTATGAGTGAAGAATGAAATATGTACATATTTATTAATCATAAAATTTCCCCAATTTTCTTTATTGAATAAATCACATAAAGAATGAAATGATATCAGGAAGTGTATAAATCGTTTAGTCGTATCATAATAATTGCATTCAGACAATGAGAGACAGTAATGGGATTTTGTTTATTGCACAATTTTAAAAGTTACTCTTGGTTGTTTGTTTCTTTCTTTCTTTCTTCCGTTTACCTCAAATATTCTCCAATACTCTCCCCTGTCTTGGGAAATAATTACATCAACTAAAATGCACTTGTGCCATCTATTTCTCTGACTCTCTTTCTTTTTCACTAGTTCTCGCACTTTCGTAATTTTCACCCCTCTACTACTTTTAATTCGGAACTTCCGATTTGTTTACAGCGCAAGTCCTTTACTATTGACAGTTTGGCTAATACTTCTCCCTATACAGCTGAGCGATTGCACTTCGACAATCTCTTGCCATTACTACTACTATTTAGCTCTGCTCTTTCTGCTGGCCAGGTCATTTCGTTTGTTTGTTTGTTTCCATGTTTTGCAATTGTCATGGGTTCCGTATCGTACAAGTGTCCTACTTGTTCATAACTTCTTCGTTTTCGTTATTAGACGTCGTTCTGGGTTTCAGGTGCTTATATTGTTTCGTCCACCCATTTTAAGTTTTTGACATGCATACAACAGTCAACTTGCAACAAAAAAGCAAAAAAGTACATTCATATGTATGTATGTTCATAGACACACTCAGTCTGTCGTCTGGCCTGTTTTGCATTACGTATTTACGTATGTTCTTACATACATACATGTGTATGTCCGAACTTAGATACATACATACGTATTAATGTATTGAAATGTTTATTCTGCTATGTATGAATATGTGTATCTATGTAGAGATTCCTAGATATATGCATATCGGATAAACAAAATGTAGATTCTATTGTTTACTTTTTTCTTTCATGCAACAAACTAAAATAATTCAATTTACTGTCTGACATTTCTCACACACATATTTTGCACATGTTAAATCAATTTTGACATCTCTATGATGTATTATTTATTGGTTTATTTTGTTTGTTGGAGTTACAACAATCAAATATGTTAATTTGTTTTTTTTTTTTGAGTTACACGTGTTTTTGTTGATCAAAATTTATTTTATATTAGTTTTCTTTCAAAATGTATCTATGCTACGTACATTAAAAAAGTGCTAAAAAAGTGTAAAAACTTCTTTGTCTTTTACTTCAATTGGGTCAAATTTAGTGTGTCAGTATGTATACGAGTATGCATTTTGTATAGTATGTATGTATATTATTCGACCTTCGGACACAATACATAAAAAGTTCGTGTAGATTTTCTTTTTAACATATTAATTTTCATCTACATACATACATAGATACATACATTATTAATATTTAAATACAATGGTTACAAAATATCTATTAACATAATAAAGTTATTAAATTGAAATAACTAGCCCTTTAATAAGTATATAAATATATGTACATATGTATCCTATATATCAATTAACTCAAATGTAGTTTGAAAACAATTTTCCAATTTTCCTTCCTAATCTAATGAATAAAGTACAATTCCAAATACAATGTTTGCCAAAGTTTAGGAGTTTTTTTTGTGAATTATTGATACATCGTAACTTTACTAAAGAATTGATCATCGTTAGGTGTGACATTTTCCCTTCTTTTCCGTTTATATGGATAAAAACTTTATTAAAGCATAGATCCTCGTTAGGTGTGACCTATTTCCTTCTTTTGGCAGCATATGAAATAAATCAATCCAATTTCGGTTTTGAAGTGAAGCGTATTCCAATGAAAGCATTCTGCATCGATAAAAAAAAATAGGAGTCTGAGGGCCAAGGTCTAAACTATAAAATGACAGAGTCTAAATTTTACAGCCATTGTTTTCTTTCCAACGAGTTGGCTGAGCGTTATCAAGATGAAATATTACGGTTTTATATCTGGACAAATATTCCTGCTAAATCGAAAACATAAACAAAAACTTGGAATCGTATTCAATTTCCCAGAGGAGTCCTACTTTGGGAATCTTTGGACCCGTCCCTTATAGGTTTCTAAAGTCCTAATTCAAAACTCGAAACTCATTATGCGAAATTTCAGTTAGAAATTACAGATAACGTACAAAAAACCTTAAATCGCTTAAGAATTTCTGAAAACCAACTTGATTTGATATAATTGTGAAAGAATATATTTAGACTTAATCGTCTTCCTCAATTGAAGAAGTTTATATTCGTTTGTTTTTGAAAACACTAAATATATGTAAATATGTATTTAAGAAAAATAATGTTGAAATTTTGTTTCAAAATCAATAAAAAATACATTTTTTTGATGGTGAAAGTAATTAATAAACATATTAATAGTAATTTTATTTAATTAATAACAAATTGATTTACCCAAAGCAGCCATTTTATGCATACAATTAATTATTTTAATATAAAAGCAATTTTCTTATCTAAAATATGTGATTTTTAAACTTAAAAAAATTGAAATTCTAAATAAAAATATTATATAAAGTGCACAAAAAAGTGTTTTTACAACAAAATTGACTATATTTTGGTTTATTGCACTGCCAGACTATTAATAAATAAAATGATTTTCTTTAAATATAATAAAAAATTACTATTAAACTTTTGCAAAAAAACAACAATACCAGCAACAAAAAAATCAACAAATAATTCTACAATAATACAATTTTGAGATAAAAAAGACAAATATACATAAATGTTTTTTTTTAATTTTTTACGTAAATAAATCTAAATCTAAGTAATAAGTAAAACTCTTATTTTCTTAGTTTATTTATAAAAATATATTAAATTGAAATATCTACAAAATAAAACATGAAAAATGCAGTAGTTTCCTTAAGGTAAATGACTTTTTAATTAAAACCTTGATTGTTTCATTTTAAATATATGTAACTGCAAGTAACAGTTTTTATTTTTGTTTTATTGCAGATTTTTTATACATTAACTGTGATTATGAGTTCCACAAAATCGCAAGTAGCTGTAGCTACAAATATTCCAAATCTAGCATCTGGTCAACAACAAAAAGATTATAATACAGAGGAATCGTTGGGCCGTCAGAATAGTTTTGGTTTAAACAGGAGGGTAAGTTAAGCAGTTTCCATAACATCTTTATCAAAAGTTCCGATATACATTTTTTAACAAATACTAATACATAATTCACATAGGATCGTTTCCTTTTGAAGGTATAAGCTTCTATTGCAATAATTTGGAAAATGTTTATGCATTAGAATGAGTAAGGTTGCATAAACAAAATTGTTTATTAATTAACAGAATAATTAAAAGAAATTAATAACATTAGTTTACAATGATTTTACTCAAACATCAAATCATTTAAGAATGAAAATGATTAAAAAGGGTTAAATTCGGAAGAAAATATTTAATAAGAGTTTTAGTTATTTTATATATAAACAATTTTATGGGTCCTATTCACAACACTTTAGCAAAATGTTTCTTATCACAAAAATATTTAAAATTCCATTGAAATAATTTTAAGTCTTCTTGAATAGTTGTCAGGTGTATCACTTATACTTCCAAGAGTTTTTCGGAAAAAATATAAATGAGAATGTAACAAATGAATTATGAGGATATAATTCTGGAATAAATTGTCAATAATATTTTTGAAACATTACTTCAAATCTGGTAAAAATAAAAGAAACTGAGTTGATTATTAGGTTCCCAAAAAAGGCTCAAGCACCCCAAAATCAATACACATTTTCAAATATTTCACCAGCACTCCAGAAGAATGATGCAAAATAAAAATCTCTTTATTTAAAAATTTTGACGTATAGAAAAAAATCGTTTGATAACTATCGGACATAGCGCTTTCTAAAAATATATGTTTCATTCCATGAGCAAACAAAAGGTATCTTATTCATAAACAATATTTTATATTTTTTTTAAATTTTCACACAATTGAATAATTTTTATTTGAATGACAACCCTATATATTTCAAATGATATCGCCCGTGTATGAGAGGTTGGGTCAGTAATCGACCGATCCTCATCAAATACTGTAGAAAGATTTTGTTACAAATCTAGTTTTTGTTGAATTTCATCACTGTACTCGTATTTTTAAGCCAGTAATGAGCGTTAAAGTAATTTTCTGAAGGGGATCTTGTAGGGGGTCGGGTTAATTATGAACCGATCCTCCTAAAATTTTGTAGAACGATTTTGGTTTATAGAAATCTGGTTTGTGTCGAATTTCATCGCTGTACTCGCATTTTTAAGTCAGTATTACGGAGTAATTACGGACCGTAATATTGCTGTCCGTAATATTTGGTAGATAGATCTTAGTTCGCACAAAACTTATGTCGAATTTTCCTTGCTATACTGGTATTTTTAATACAGTTATGACTGTTTAGACTATTTTCCGGTGGCCATTTGTATGGTGGCTATGCAAAAACGTGGACCGATATTGCCCAATACCAAACAAACCTACCTACATATAAGAAATAATTGTGGACAATTTCAACCCTCTATCTCCTTCCGTTCGAACCCTATCATGTTTCCAACAGACAGTATTTTTTGATGGTTGTTGATGTACTATGGATAAGTCAAAATCAATATCCACAATCATATTCTCCAGCCATTACCCGTATTACATACAAATTCCATTTTAATTATTTATATAGGTCAATAGCAATTCTAACATTTTTGTCTAAAGACATTGAAAAACTTCTCCATAATCAAAGTCATCATTCATAAATTAATGATCGTCAATATGGATTTTGATCATATCATAATTGCTTGATGTTGCAGAAGATATGAGGAAACGGTAAAAACAATGGTATATTATTCTGCCTTATTCAAAAGCATTCCACACTATTGAACACTATTAATAATTGGTGTGGTCGTTTTTCCCGGTGTACAAATGAATTGCCTGTGTAACTCAATTATTGCCAAATTTGAATGTATGCAAATAATGTCTAGAACTATATCAGGTGTAAATTAACATCTATGGATGAATGTATTTCACAACATAGCGAAGATTAGCACCGAATATCTTAGAGCCTCAGCCATAATGCAACCCAGCAAATGCTTTCCTTTTCAGTTCAACATTATTTGAAACTACAAAAATCATGTAAGATATGGGCTGAAAGATGAAATTTATGTCATAACATTTCTAGTGGGTTTTGGTGAAGATTGTGTCCAGGAGAAGGAATGATATTATCAAAATGTTTAAATATTCTACAAAATATGAAATTTTAGGTGATATAAGATATATTTAGCCGGTTGTTTTGTTTTATTTTTAATTTTTTAAGGATTTTTTTATTTTGTGCTATTTTAATGTCCAGGAGTAGATTTACTTTGGAAAGAAAAAATTCTATATGCAACAAAGTAGTGGAACAAAATGTAATGTGTCGGGATCCTCGAAGGACATGCTTTACGCATAAATAAGAATTTGTTAAAAAAGTTACGAACTATCAGGGTTGGGGGCAATGACTACATTTTCAATTACATTTGAAGTAATTTCATTAGCATTATTTTGTCTAATGGTTATGCTTTTTAATGAAACGATTTCATTATGTTGTTTTGTTTTATTTTTAATTTTTTAAGGATTTTTTTATTTTGTGCTATTTTAATGTCCAGGAGTAGATTTACTTTGGAAAGAAAAAATTCTATATGCAACAAAGTTGTGGAACAAAATGTAATGTGTCGGGATCCTCGAAGGACATGCTTTACGCATAAATAAGAATTTGTTAAAAAAGTTACGAACTATCAGGGTTGGGGGCAATGACTACATTTTCAATTACATTTGAAGTAATTTCATTAGCATTATTTTGTCTAATGGTTATGCTTTTTAATGAAACGATTTCATTAGTAATTATTTAAAAAGAAATTTTCATTACCATTATTAATGGATTTTAAAAATTTTCAAACATTAGTTCAAATTTCGAAATTAATTTCGAATATCCGAACATTATAATGTATTGTCATTAGGTGAAATCATGTATACCAAATTTCAGCACATTCGGACTAGAAGAACTAGTTTTAACAGCTTTAAAAATTTTTCGAACACGAGTTCGAATTTTCTAAATTTTTTTTTTAGTTTTTATGACACAGAAATTAATTTAAAAACATAAAAAAATTTTCGAAAATAACTTCGAATATTCGAACTTAATTTCGAATATTCGAACATATTATTGTATTGTCATCAGATGTACTTATGTCTGCTAAATTTCAGCCAATTTGGGCTATGGTAACTGGTTTTAAAAGCTTTCAAACCTCGAATCTTCGAAAAATTTTCCTGAATTCTTATCAAATATATTTTTCGACAATTATAAATACTAATTAAATTCGTTTTTGAAAATTTACCATTTATCAAAAAAAGTTATAATGAAAAAATTATAATTTTAATTAAATGGTACTTAAAATATTTTTCATTAGCATTTTTTCTATAAATGGTAATGAAAATATTAAAATGAAAAATTCCCATGTATGACTGTTTCTAATTAATTTTTGTTTACATATGTATTCATAATGCTTCATATCCATTCCTATTCATCTTCCATTCAAAGAAATTCAAACCGATTCTGTTCGATTTTCGTTTGGCACATTTCTGTTATTTTTCTTACGATTCTTTTCGGTTTCATTCCACATAATTAGCAAACAAACCGATTTTAGTTTCGTGCTTTAACAGGATATTTTAACGAAAAGCTAAAATGTTTCATAAACTTAAAACTAGCGTGAATACGAAAGTACTCCCAGTTTCACTGAAAATTATTGGGTCTGTTCAATAACTAAAAGTTGTTACTAATTTTCATAAAAATGTTTGAAATTTGTATTGAAATACAAAAACAATTTGTAATAATTTTTTGTTATTGAACAGACATATTATAGAGCACTTGGTAGATCCTTATTTAGCTAAAGGATGAAGCGATTGAAATAGTTGTTTACTACAAAGAGACTTACGACACATCCAAAATAGTTAATTTCTGTAAATATATTTTCCTCCGGTCTGACAGAGGCACTGATAAAATAGAGCACAACAGGCCTGATGGAGGCGGGTGTATTTCTTCGGGTTTGATGTTACATATGTACATCATTTTTTAAACTAACTAAAAAATTTACCTTTTGAAAGATAACGCATACACTTATATTGTGGACAATAATATAAGTGTTGCGTTATCTTTCAAAAGGTGTACACTAATGTTATAACTTTTATAAAATGTTTGCATTTTTCAAATCGGCCCTATCCATTCAATATAGAGTATAAAAAAGTACGTCGAAAATGTATATCTCTTTTACCCGAGCGTTAAAAAAGTTTCCGCTGCAAATGCTTTAAAGTTTCGATATTTACTCTTAAACAAAATTTTATATTATTATTACAAAATTGCAAATTTTACAAACAAGTGTCATTGTTTGACCCACGACATTAACACGGAGAAAAAACAATGATATGAACAGCGATTTATCCCACTGAATTTAGTATCAAAACTTGTAGACTATTCTATTAAAAATTCATGTAAATTTGTTGTGAATAGTTTTGGCGAAAAAATTACCCGGAAAAACGTTTTCGTTATTAAAACACTACTGGCTACCACGTAGTGATAGGACCTACACCTTGATTACTTGAAAATATAACAAATAACATTTTTTATTAAACTAAACATCTTTTAACACAGTTGGTTGGCACAATTGTTGCTAAGCAATCGTTACTGCTAAAATACCTCTACTACCGAAATACGCCAAAGTACTAAATACTATTAACATTTTACTATTTTTAAATTATTTGTCAGTAATTTGTTTTTTTTAATCGAATAAATAACCACAAATTGCTGATAATGTATTTCAATAATATATTTGTTACGTAATGCTTCAAATGAAACATTTAATCAGTCTCACATGCAGGATTTGTAAACTTTGACCTATGACTCCATTTTTTCTACAATTTAATAGTGTGTTATTTTGTTTTTCTGTGTGTTTGTAAGACTAAATATTTCACAGGTAGAAATTATGTAGTTAATGATTAAAAAAATAATATTTGCTTGTTGTATAAGTAGAAAATAATTACTAAATGTATTAAACTTTTCACATACTGTATGTATGTATGTATGTATGTATGTATGTATGTGTATGTATGTATGTATGTATGTATGTATGTATGTATGTATGTATGTATGTATGTATGTATGTATGTATGTATGTATGTATGTATGTATGTATGTATGTATGTATGTATGTATGTATGTATGTATGTATGTATGTATGTATGTATGTATGTATGTATGTATGTATGTATGTATGTATGTATGTATGTATGTATGTATGTATGTATGTATGTATGTATGTATGTATGTATGTATGTATGTATGTATGTATGTATGTATGTATGTATGTATGTATGTATGTATGTATGTATGTATGTTAGACATTATTAGTCTATAGTTTCTATATTAACAATCGAAACTCTAAATGCAACAACCAACCTATGTGATTTGAGTCCTTTATTTGAAAAGTGAAAAATAGTGGTTTTTCTAAAATGGAGACATGACTCTTACACACGAAACTTCTAATAAAGTACGAAACTTTTGCACATGCAACAAACAATTTAATACCTTTTTCTTGTTGATTTGAATGATTTTTTTTTGTTTTTTATTCTTGGAAATTTGATGTCAATCAACACGAGTTTCCTAGAAACTATTATTTCATTTAATTACGCAATTGTGTATTTTTCGAGTTCAAGGTTTATTTAGACTCTGTTATTTCTCTTTGGTTGTGGGTTCCTTTTACATTTTCCATTTAATATGTTCATGTTTTGATTTTTTATATTTTTCTCTCTTTTTTTTGGTTTTGTTTTGAAATTTTAATAGTGCAAATTTTAGATATGTATGTATGTTTATAGCTGTGAGCGTATGCAAATGTTAACATGTACATAAGTAAGTCTTATTTGCTAACGTCCTTTTTGATTTTGTGAAATAGATTTAGTCACCTTAGTGTGACGTTGTGCTATTGTATCGTAAATCAGGTTAAACCTAGAAATCAATGGGTTTTTATTTTGTCAACGTTTGTATTATTAGGTCACCAACACCAGTAATTGTTTTGACAAATGTTTCATTAATCTAAATATAATAAATGACACAAAGATTTAATGATCGAACTTATTTAATAGATTTGATTTATATGTATATGAAATCATTAAATGTGTATTAACCGAAAGGTGATATTTACGTACATTTGCGTACATATGGGCAATTCCATACCATCGTTCGTGACATTTGTATGCCTACAGAGTGTTATAGATTTTACAAAAATAGTAGTACTTGAAAAATTATTGTCGTTCTGTTCCATTCAGATAATACTGTATTTGGAAAAAAGTCATTCCATTAGGAACCTTGTTTCCCAAAAACGGAAATGTTTTTGAAATACTTGTAATACGAAAATCTGCGAATTGTGTGGATGTTTCTTTTTTAACTTAATTTCTTACACAAAGGGACATATTTTTCCTTTGTAATCCATAATTTTTAAATAATGGATAGGCTAAATAATAATTGACCGTTTTCAAAAATGTTCAAAAGACTTCGTCTTTGGTGCAACAAAATATTACACGTCAAATTTTTTCGCATTGTCTTTAAAAATGCAAAAGTTTTATTTTTTTATGGAATCAATAGGGTGTACCGTTAGGAGGAATACCTCTAAAACGATGCGTTTCAATGTACTGAATACGAGAAAAATAAAAAAAAAACTTTTTTTGAAAAGGTCCTCAGTTTCCTACCTGCGATTGAAAATCTTGATCTCAGTACAACATGTTCAAAAAAATTTTTTTTTGCAATTTGGTGTAAAAAATTCCGTAATTTTGTGCTTATCGCGGGAAAAATAATTAAAACTTTTGTTAGTGTATTTCTGTCCGCAAAATTAGTTTTAGTGTATTATAAGGAGCATGTAAATTTAATAAAATTCTAAAAAATTTTGAAATGGACCAAACCAAATGAAAAACTATCTTTTAATTATTTTTGTGTATAAGCTAAAAATTACGACAATTTTGACACCTATTTCAATAAAAAGCAAAAACAATATGCCTCTCCAACTCACTAAAAATCATTTTGCGGACCAAAAATACTCTACAACAATTTTAAGATTATTTTTCCCGTTGTCAGCTCAAAAAAATAGAAAATATTTTATTTTTCAAAAATTATACTGAGGTCAGGATTTTCAATCGCTGCTAGGGAACTGAGGACCATTCCAAAAAAATATTTTTTATTTTTCTCATGTTCGGTACATTAATACGCATCAATATATTAAATCAATAACAATTTCCATACATGACATTTTAGATACTTATGTATGTACTTAGGTATAGGCACACGTATACGGGTTTTTATAATAAATCATGTTTGTTTTCGTGTTTATTTTGAATTCTTTATTTTGCATAAATGAGAATTAAGAAATAAACATTATTTAAAATAACTGTTATTTAAGTGGGTAAAATCTAATACATAAATTGCAAGCACAATACATACATATGATCTGATTTATTAAAAAGTTGGATTTCTTAGGAAATTACTTAAAACTCTGGATTTCTTAAGGACTTTTCGAAATCTTTTTAAAATATTTAGAAACATGTTGAAATCGATTAAAAACAGAATTGCTTTTGAATGAATTTTGACTATTGATAGATCGCAACTTATTGAAAATGCTTTAAGTAGTTTTAATTAAACCAACGTTGCTCAGACATTTTCAATATAAATGAAAATAGCGTACGTGCTAAATTTCATCAAATTATCTTTACATGGACAGCCACACGGACATGGCCTAATCGACACAGAAAATTATTCTAATCCTATAGCTATGTATACCTTAAGGCAGATTCAATAAAATAAATATGTATAACGTAAAAATAAATCAAACATCAGCACAAACTCATAATATCCTCCACACAATAGTGTAGAGTATAAGAAGGATTTAACAAAGAGATTGGGAGAGACAAAAGTATATTTAAACTCTTTGGACTCTAACGAAATAGAACCGCTATATGAAAACACCTGTGTTATCTCATTTTATCACTATGTAATTTTCTGGTGCAATAATGTACCAACTTCAAATGTTTTGTTTTGTTAAATTATCTTGAAAAGTGTGAAAGTTAGAAGGGTGTTCATTAGTTCAGTCTTGGTACAACATCTCATTAAAATGCCAATATGTACATGTACATTGTATATGTATACATATGTAACTATATATATATATGTAAAGTAACATTATTCCGATCCGCACACTTTTGAGTATAAAAATACAATATAAATTTGTAAAATTGTACATACACATGTAGCAATATTATTTTTACAGAATTTCATAAAAAATACTAAGATATCTAATAGAAAAATGTTGTAGGTTGGACTTACCATTTAAAATCACCTATTTATACTTTATTTATGTTTTTTTTATTAATTTGTTTGATTTTATTTTAGGGCAACATGAAAGGAAAACATTTAACGAGAAGTCATGCTATGAGAGAGGCGACTTCGCCGCCACGTACTCCAACACCTCGAGCGTCAGAGTCTTCATCGCAGATGTCACCGAATGGTTATCAACAGCAACAGCATCATCAGCAGCAACAACACATGGATGTTAATGAAGGAAACAATAACAATAATAGCAATAACAAATTGCATACACAATCATCAGCCACTCGCGGCAATTCACCAATAATCGATACACCAACTGTGATTGTAACTAGTCAACACAAGCAGCAACAGCAACCACAACAACATCAGCAGCAACAGTCAAATGTTGCTCTATGTAATGAAACGGAATTTCCAAAATTAAGCCCGCCCAAATCAAAGAGCGGCAGTAACAGTAGTACTGGTGGTAGTGGGGGAGGTGCCCCAGGATCTGGTAACAGTTCTAGCAGCAGTAGTAGTGGTGTAAATAGCAATTGCAATAACAACCCACAACGTATTAATAACGCTTCGGAAGGTCACAATAACAATAATAATACTAATAATAGTAACAATAGTAGCAATAAAAAGACAAACGGTGATACTGCAGGTGTTAATAATGAAACGCACAATAAAGCCACCAACAATGTGAATATGAATGCTGCGAATGCAAATAAAAATTACAATCAATCGCAACAGCAGCAATTTAGTGCTGGGAATGCATTGCAGAAAGCTTTAAATGTCACTGATAATTCGCAGTCTACAACAATTTACAATTCCCCCATGAACTATCAATTGCATCCCAATGATATTAACCGTGAACAGCAGCAACAACAATCGTATGTTGTTTATGATAAGGAGAATCGTTGTCCACGTAATGACAGCCAAAATAGCATGAATTCGAATGATGAAATGCATTATGAGACGCAGCAGCAACAACAACAGCAACAACAACAACATCAACAACAGCATCAGCAACATCAGTCACAACAGCATCACCAACGTACGGGAGGCGGTAAAAAGCATCGCACTAATTCAAATTCAAAAGGATCTAAGCCTCGATTGAAGAATGTGGGTAGTACCAACAGTGGCGGAGGGGCTGGCAGCAGTGTTTCGAACATGGGTGCCGGAGGAAGTGTTGTTACTGGTGGCTTAACATCGGGCAGCATTGAAGGCAGTTTAAACAGCAGTAACAATACGTCAGGCTTTATTTCAAGAGGTTTGTATCGACTCGTTTTATATAAAATTGTGTCTATTTTTATTTCTTTAGTCTTCACAAATTCAGAAAACTCCAACGAACAATACACAGATTATGGTGGAACCGATTTGCTCAGTTTTTTCAAAGAGACGTTAAATAAGAACGTAAAAGACCGTCAATTTTTGTTGAAAGTCGAAAAGGATTTAATTGAATTTGTGCAGGAAGGAAAGTGAGTAAACAAAATACAATAATTCATAATTATACTTTGAAATGACTTCGATCTCTTTGTTCTATAACCTACAGTCGAGGTGAAATACGTTTTCCACAAGCTTCCTCATACAATCGTATGTTGATCCATAGAACGGCTGCCTTTTTTGGCATGGAACATAATGTGGACACCGAGACACAACAATGCGTTATTGTAGCACCGACTAAAAACACTCGCATACCAGAAGTAATTTGTCAAATTATAATATGGTTTATTTGCACGATAAAATTTTAAAATTTATAATTTTTTTCTAGATTCGTTTTAAAACACTGGTCATTAATAACCGTGATGACTCACGCAAATCTATATTGAAACGCGATACGCACAGTTTTGATGAGGCTCGTCAAAGCAGTTATTTGTGCCCAGATCGAGGTGGTATGCTCGATCGCAAAGCAAAGAGTTTCGAAGAACGCGAAGAAGATTACGACCGTGCCCGATCGCGCATATTTAATCGAAGCCAAAACGAAGCTTGTCCCGGTGGAGGAGGTAGTACGGACGACGACAACAACTACATTAGTTGGACAAGTTCAGTTGATCAGCAGCAGTTTTCACGTGGACGCCCTAGCGGAAAAGTGTTAAAGATTCAAAATGTAAACATTTATTAAAAATATTTTCAAATTAAACATTACTATATAACCTTTCATATTCAGTCTCCAGATGGTCGTGCCGGTAGTGTTGTTCAAAAATCGAATAACAATTTTGGCAATTATAGTCAAGGTGGAGCTCCTCTTATACGCGGAGACTCGGCAAATTCTAATAAAAGTATGGGAACAGGCAGTGGTAATGGAACGCGGATATTTTCTAAACAAGATTCAGCGGGCAGTTCCAATACATCGTGGCGGTTATCTCCTTCAAGCAGTGGGTAAGTTTATATTGTAAAACTCAAAACTTTTCTCTTTCATCCGTCAATGTTACACATTCTTTGTATTTCTGAGGAATAAAGAATTAACTAAGAAGATAAAATTGTTATTTTTAAACACTCAATTGTTTAGCTATAAAACCCAAACGCAATCGATTCGTTCTGATTCGGTAACGCCATCACCAACCGGTGGTTATGGCAGTGATGAACCCCATTTACCGGATCATCCGTCAATCACCGCAAACAGGGAGAACAATGAAGATACAACAACGCTTCCTAGTGGACTTGTGTGGGCCGTCACAGATATTTCGAATGTGCCAAAAGGCAGCATTCTCATAAATCCGCAAACCTTACAGCCAATCCTAAATGCAGACGGGTAATTTACAAAACTTTAACCAACCATCACTACAATAAATAAACGATACCAAAATTCTGTTCTGTTCTTCCGTTTTCATCAATCACTAATCAATTTATACATTTTGACGATTAAGAAAATGCAAGCGCATTTCCACATTGTCGAAATTTATAACTTTTTTTATTATTGTGTTACTGTTTTTTTATTAATTACTATTGTTTGATTTTAATCAAAAAAATAATTCTCCAATACATAGTTTGCAAAACAAGTTTACTTTTTTCGTGCTCTCTATCTCTTTATCTATCTAAACACCAGCTTTTCAAATTCGTAAACGCTTAAAAGACATCATTATTGTTCTAATACATATGTATGTATGGTTTACATTTAACTCAAAGTTTTGACTACCTAACACGCATTTTATGTGCTCATACTTTAGCCATACGTATGTATGTGCACTGATATTATTTGTCTGATAATTTTAGCAAATTACTGAATCTTTTTTATTTTCTGTTTATATATTATTTTCTCTTTTTTGTTTATATCACTGTACTGATACAAATATCTGTTTATATTGGTAATATACATATGAATGTAGGTGTAAATACATAATACAAATATATTACGTAATGTGTCCGATACATCATCATTATCATCTTCTGAATACATCCACCAAATCCTACAATGTTTTCACCCACATCTAAACTCTTTGCAAACTAATAATTTAATTAATTTTTCTTTTTTAAATTTTACATTAATTGGCATATTTAAGTTAAATAACATTGTTTGTTCACAAGTTTTCGTAAATTATCTGTTTTTAAGTACTACTGCATTAAATACATATGAATACATAAATATAATAAATATTAAATATATTTTTTTTTATTCTGCTTTCGGCTTACTGAAATCTTCATGCTTATATGTTTGCTCACTAAAGAACGGCATTAACAAGCAATCTACTATATACATACAGTGTCTCTCATAATTATTCGAATTTGGGTAAACAATAAAAAGAAACCAAATTATATAATATATTTTGTGTGCAAAATAAATAAATTAATTTGTTATATTGTCTAGATAGTCCTTATGTTTGATATCACGCTTTTTAAAACTTGAAAAATTTGCGTTGACTTAAATTAATTGTGCTTTTTTAAAAAAAGTCCATGAAATTGCCTCACAAAAGTATACGAATTTTTCCTGTATTTCATATTTGATCATATTATACGCAACACAAATTTTAGAATCGAATGGTTTTTATGCGTAATATTGTTTTAAGGGGTTACTATCCACGGAAAGGATATATTTTTGGTCCATTTGGTCCACAATTTTGGGGAATTTGTACCCTCTTTTCATGTAATATCATTAAAATGGCGATTTTTGGCCATAATTGTAAATTTTTCTCCTTTTTTCCAGAGATAAAACAAAAATTTGATATTGGGAATTAAAAGACCCCTTGGGGTATCTAAAAATAATATTTTTTGTTACAAGAATCTGTATTTAAACGTTCCAAGATAAATTATTCGGATCATTCTTCTTCAATATATTGGAACTTAAGTCCATTTTTATAATACTAGGATCAACTATTTTCGAGGAAAGTTTTTTGGTATATATTCTTTTAGATATCAGCTTTTATACATTTTAAGTTTTCAAAGTGTTGTGGAAGTGTACAACTCCAAAACATGCCTCGAAGAAGCACCATTCAAAATAGTAAAATCATTATTTTTATATACCAATGGCCTCCATGCTGCATGGCACGATATCATATGATCACATGAAAAATGTTGATATGTGTTTAAATATTATTTACTATGATCAAATCAAACCCAAAATTTAGGACTTACAGTGTTATTGTAACGGGCAACATAAGCGTGAAAGTTACGAGTAGTAAAAACTGAATTCTACTATATAGGATGACGTTTTGTTAAGACATGTTTTGGGGATGTATACCGCTATAATATATTGAAAATTTAAAATACATTAGTGCCAATATGTACATGAATATACACTAGACAACTTTGTCGAAAAATATCGTCCCTAGAGGTACGAAAAGGGACTTATGATCCAGATAATTCAATTAGAAACTGAAAAACGATACCAAAAATACATCTTGGAACGTTTAAGTACAGATCCTTATAACAAAAAATATTATTTTTGGATACCCTATGGGTTCTATTAAATTCCAACATTAAATTTTGGTTTCATCTCTGGAAAAAGGGTGAAAACATTACAAATATAGCAAAAAATCGCCATTTTAATGGTATTACATGAAAAGAGGGTACAAATCCCCCAAAATTGTGGACCAAATGGGTCAAAAATATATCCATGCGGTTGATAGTAACCCCTTAAAACAATATTAAGCATAAAACCATGCGATTCTAAAATTTGTGTATCGTATAATATGATCAAATATGAAATACAGGAAAAATTCGCATACTTTTGTGAAGTAGTTTCATGGACTTTTTTTAAAAAAAGCACAACTAATTTGAGTAAATGTAAAGTTTTCAAGTTTTAAGGGGCGTGATATCAAAACTAAGGACTATCTAGACAATATAACAAATTTATTTATTTATTTTCCACACAAAATATATTATTAAATTTGGTTTCTTTTCATAGTTTACCTAAATTCGAATACTTATGAGAGACACTGTATATATTTCAAAGTTTAATTTTATCTTAATAGTGCCTTTATTATATTTATTACAATACTAGTACCAGTCCGTTAATAGTTTAAAATAGTAATAATAATAATAAAACAAATTATTGTATGGGTTTTATTTTAATTTTAAATTTGCTGTAATTAAATAAGTCGAAAATTCCTAAACATATAGGACGTATATTATGACATTTTACAGAGTTGTAAAAATTTAAGCAATTATTATTGAAATTTCAGAAGATTTTAATTGTATTTCAAAATATTCGAATTATTTTTCGATTTAAATTTTTTTGGTAAATGTGTAAGTGTTTTGATTCGTAAAACTGGAACATGTTATTATTAACTACATTTGATAACTTCTAAACCAATAAAGCTATCTTCAGTGGTTGATCAATAAAGGCGTTGAACGGTAAAATAATAAAATAAATATAAAAAATTACTTTCACATAACTTTTTTGGTAGCAGCAATTTTTCAATTAATAATTAAATAAATTAATTAAACAAATGGATCAAAATAAGCTATTGCAATACATTTATGAATGTATTTTTTTTTATAACCAAGTAATTTTTTTTTTGTTTGAATAATTAACATTTGTGAAAACCCGGTTGGCATTTAAAAATTCAGCAAAAACAGATAAACCGGTTACAATATGAAATAATTTAAAATAATTTAAACCTATTTTCCTTTGAAAAACATTGTTATTCGAAGAATTCGCCATGCGAAAAATCGACAGCTTTTTCATCAACTTACAGATCAAATAAAGAAAATACAATTTATTTTAGCATTGACTTATAATTATTGCAACTTGTTATTTTATGAATATCAGTACATTTGCTATTGAAAACGTTAAAAGAAATGATAGAGAAAATATATATTTGTACATATATACATCTGTGGAGAACTGCTTATTTGTTCTTCACTTTGTTTTTCCTAGTTTATTATGTCATGTCTACAAAGATACGAAAAAATTTGTAATTATTGAATTAAAGAAAACCAAACAGGTTTTCTGTAGAAGGGTCCACTTGTATCTGAAATTGATTGATATTGTCCACTTGATAATAATCTAATGAGAATAATTATAAAAAAGTCAGTCCTTTAGCTTCCCACGTATGAGTCCTATCGTAATTTAATAAATTTTGTTCAGCGCTACAGTTAAGGCGAAACAATGATCTCCTTGCTATTTACATCGACCGATCCTCATCCTCATATATTTATGGGTCGCATCTTCAAAGTCTATTTTGGACCGCGTATAATAGAAGACGAAGGAAGTTAATGAATCAGACTCTATTAATTCACCAGACTACCGCGGTTTACTGTACTGTTTTATCGGTATTGCAATGTAATATATTCTATTGAAATTAGGGAACTCGTTCCTGATACGAATATGTTTTTACGAAACACATCCATTTGTGGTCGATTGGACAGTGAACCGCATAATACATTCTAGGGTAAATTCATTGTTCAGTACCGTACGTATGTGAAATAAACTTCCTGCAGAAGTATTCCCTTCTATTTACGATGTAAGAAGATTTAAATTAAATGTACACAAATACTACTTCCCCTATCCTCCCTTTCAAAACCTATTATCCTAGTTTCAACATATAGTACTGAATAAGTATGTGTCATCCTCTAAAAAAATTAACCTCACCTTTATTGGCTGTCTAAGTTAAGGTATCATTCATTGTTTACTGTCAGATGCCATTCTAAAAACTTCTTGCTAGGTCCCGTAAACACATGGGAAGATGTGTGCATTTGAAAGCATCTAATAGTATTCTCTTCTCTATTAAAGAAAAGAAATGAAAAAGAGGTACTTTAAATAGAGGTTGAATTAAGATCAACCGAACAATTCTATCTTTTTTAGTTTTATACTTTAGTTTGCAAAAAAGTTTGATACTTTAGTTCAAGCAACTAATCTCTATATGGGAACTTTAAATATATTGTTATGAAAAAAGATAAGAGTAAAATGTTTTAACATATTTTTTTTTGAAAGTCTTACAGCAAAAGCATTGAAACCCCTAAGGCCTAACTATAACTTTATAATAGAGTGATCCAAGCTTGTATAAATGAAAAAAATTGACAAGTTGTACCCATTTAAAGATATTCTTTGTATTGCAAAATTATGTTCTGCAAAAAATTTGGCGAGGTACATTTGCAATGAAAAAAATTGAATTTAAGTTTTTCCTAAAATCTTTCCATTTTAAAATTTCATTTTTCAAAATTATTTGAAAAATATAAAAGTTGTTGAAAATTCACCAGGCCATCAAAATTGATTATTTAATGGAGACATTTTAGCAAACAAGAAATAGATTTTCCCCTTTGTAAATGCGCCTCAAAAATTCACAGTTGTTGTGGCACCTGTTATCGTTATCCTATTAGACTATTTTTTTTGTAGTTTTACAGCTCAAGGAATAATTCTAGAGGGGGAGCACTTACCAGGTGCTTGCTTATTATATAATCAAGGAAGAAGCTAATTAATTAGTTTTGGTAATTCGTGTGTGGCACAATCATACATAAATGTACAAATGTGACTAAATAGTTTTAAAGACACATACGTACAAATAGCCACCTAAAAGTCACTTCAGAGTTATGTAAATTATAGTTGGGCCTTAAATTTTATATTTTTTGTTTGTACTTGCATATGCAGTTCTGTAAAATAAATATTCCATTCTATAACATGATTCTCTTTTCGAACCTTTAAAGTATTTTCACTCATCATTTTTATGCGTAATGCATATGTATGATGAATATACATAATAACGCTGTCGAGATAAAACAATGCTCTCCTACGTATAGAATTTTTCTTTAAAACGCAAACAACAAATAAATCTAAACTTGAAATCTTTCCTATATGAAAACAAGATTAATGTTTGCATAACTTTTTTTGGTTTATTTATAGTACGGTTTATCATTACGATCCGTCTAATATGCCTCCAGCTCAAGCGATGGCAAGTGGTAGCAATGTTGCCAACAGTGGAGGTAGTATTTATCATACAAATCAAAATAATTCACCTTCACAACAACATCCAATGCACAATCCCTTAAAGAAACAACACAAGGGACATCAAATGCAACAACAACAACAGTTTAACAAATTGGAATCAACAACTACTGGAGCAACAAACAGTGGAGGCGAATCGGTATCAGAATCATCGACCCAAACAATTAACGTGGGTGAGGAAGTGATTCCATCAAACAATATTTTGGATGTCAGTTATCAAGAAGATGGTACGTGTAAAATTTATATTTAAAAAGTAGTTTCCATAAAGTTGGCATTTTTTAAAACCACTCAGTTTGAATACATTTCTAGTAAAAGTAAAACTGGTAAAAAATAGTTTGTAAACGAACATACTTACTATATTACATTGAAATATTTTATTATTGTATATTTGGCAAAGATTAAAACATATTTTAATTTAAAGATTTAAAGCACATACATATATAATAAAAATTAATATTTCTGGTTCATCAGATCCAAAATTTATTGTAAATGTTCAAAATGTGTACATGTACTAATTATTACATCATATTTTGTCCACCAAATAATACCGTCAATATGTTTCAGATTTATGTAATGCGGATGAAAATGATGAATGTGATAATTCGGCCAATGGTTGTCTAAGTATAACGACAACTACATCAACTAAAAATTACGATCGCATTGAAGTTCAAAAGTTTAAGAACCAAGCAACTAGTCCTAATATACCTATCAATGAAAAGGATGATATCGTTAAGCGAGAGGTATTAATGAAGTCACAACAATTTCAGTTGTATTGTATTTAATTTAAACACAAAATAAATTATGCTTTTAGCACTCAAGCCAGACGCCGATAAATGTGACACCCACTCAGCAAACCCAATTGCAACAATCACAAACTCCACAGCAATCTCAGACGCAGAACCGAGAAACTCCCCACTCTTCACGCTCTACGCCATTTAGCAATAGTGATACATTGACAAAACGTTCTTCAGAGGAACCGAGAGCGACAAGTTGGACACAAAGCTACCAGGCTCCTGATGGTTCTACAGTATTTCACACTACAACTACACCCAATAGCAGCGCCACTAATCCTTATTGTACTACCACATATCAGCAAGGGGTATGTATTCACCAAAAAAATAAATAGTTTTTGTAAGATACTTTCTACACGTTAACATATAAATATCCAACTACATATTTGTTTAAAAAACTTGAAATTTAGGTTAATTACTAAAATATATTTTTTATTTCGTTCTTTACACCTTTTGGGTTTGAAGCTGGTTATGATATACATTCACCGTTCCTTTGATATATTAGAGTTTAAAATTTTTAAGTAAAAGTAATAATTAATATTAAGCTTTTATATTTTACGAATTCTAAATAACATAATTTTGGATGTGAAATCATGAAAGTTTTGCACTTTGGTGAAAAAATTTAATACTAAAGCATCTTCTCCAAAAAGGACTTAATAATCACTTTAATGATATCTACAAACAAACAAAAATAATTAATAGAGAAATATACATATATTTTTTAGGGTGATTTTTATTTTTTTTCTATTTATTTCGTATCAATTTATTTATCTATTGGAAATTTTATATGTTTACGAGACATTAAAAATCTTAGTTTTTCTTTATTTCAATTACAATTTTCTTTTTACTTATTTTGCGTCTTTATTAATTTATTATTTTTTATAAAATTTTATAAGTTATTGCGATTTTTTAAAGATGATTGCTTTATATTTATGCGGTATTTAATAATTCAGGGCGAATTATTTTTTTTTTTTTGAATAAATTGACGTCCAAGACTTAAAAAATCTGAGATAAATTTCGGAACATTCAAAAATTTTAAGAACATTAACTGCAAAACAATATTAAAAAAGTTAAAAATTTACTCCTAACGAGGTATATGGTTGTTGAAACGGGAAAATTGTCCTACAATTTAATTTTAAATAATGCATATAATGATAATAATTATAATAATAATCCATAATTAAATAAAAAGAGTATGAAGTAAATCTGTATGCATATGTATGTATGTATTTATTTTAGTGTTAACTGTTTACATGTACATATCAAATGTTTATTATATCGCAATGCTAATATGTGATTTCAGCCTGATGGAAGCATTTACGCAGTGCCACAAGGAATGATTTACGCTTATCCTTCACCAGTAGAAGGGGAATTTCAAGGATATTTTATGCCGGTTTTTGATCCCTCTCAACAACGTAGTGATACCACCGGTCTTCTACAGCCCGGAACACAAGCTATATATCCAGCGGGTGGTGCGACAACTATGGTACCAGTAGCTGCTTACCCGACCGCACAGTTCGCCACAACTAATGGTGCTCCGATTTACCCCAGTCAAGTGATATATTCCGGCGAACAATTTCAAACAGCCGGCGCACCGTTGACGGCAACAGCTCCAGCATCTGCTACAGCGCAATTGCAGCAAATACCAATGACTACTTATCCGATTGGATATCCATATCCATACAATGGTAAGTCGTCGCTTATTCTCTTTACTAGTCATTTAGTTTATATAAAATATTCTTCTTGATGCCTCTCTTTTCATGTAGGATACTGGGGCCAAACCATGACATACTATGTACCTCAACAAGCTGTTCCCGCCACTTCACTGTTAGCTGCACCGCCACCACCTCCATCGGCACCTGGTAATGTAAGTCACGTCGCAGGCGGCGTGAACACAACTGGTCCGAATGGGGGTAATTCGACGGCTGGACCGTCAACCAATTCCTCGAATACTACGAATAATTCATCGGGACATATGGGCAACGGTAACACACCGAATACAAGTCATCAAAATGGCTCCGTTACTACAGGATACCAATCGCATGTACATACAGTTAGCGGCGGTATAGGTTCCAGCCACAGTGGTGGCACAACATATTATGGCACTGGTCGTATAAAGCGCCCTACTCCTCCACACTTTAGTAATGCTGGAACAAATGGTGGTCACCAGGTTTTAGCTGCTGCTTCCATACCCAATGGTGTCACGACCGCCACATACCAACTCGGTCATGCAGTTCCCACACTCACGTTGGCGGCGGCCGCTCCGCCTCAAGCCACAACAGGAGCAGCAACAGATCTCAGCGGCGGTGCCGGAGCTCCGACAACTGCGACCATGTACGCTTTACCACAGCATGCCACAATATTTCCAGCAAACATGTTCCCATACGCCACAAACGCAGCGGCGCCAGCCATTGGTCCGCAGTCCGGAGCTAATATGGCACCACAGACTGCAATTATCCAGCCACCTGTTAATCCACAAGGTCATGTTGTAGGAGGTGTAGGTGGTCAAGCTAATGCCACAGCTGGCGCCATTCATAATCCTCACCATTCAAATACTGTGATCACGCCCTTTTACACCACTACTCATCATCATGCACCTCATCCAGGCATACAAGCCGGCGGCCACACAATACATGCCCCCGGTCCTTCAGCCATACCTATAGTTGATCCGGCGACAATTACAAATGTAACTCAACTTGGCCCGGCCAACAATTCAGTGTATAGTGGAAGAAGTGGTGGCGCCAGCAACAATGCTGGTACCTCGCAATCTGCTCCCAGCACACCGCATTCGATGCCTTCTTCCTCGACCCTACACCACTCACAACGCAATCCTTCTGTATTTTCCACGCCTCCCATACTAAACAACAATGGCAGCAATTATAATAGTTCCAATTCAACACCTCACTACTATGGAAATACTGAAATGTTGCATCAATCATCCGTAAATAGCGGCAGTGCTAATAATAGCAACAGTCCCCATAACTCGTACGTATCATCATCGTATGAAAAGCGAAACAACAATAATAGTGGAGGAGGAAAGAAGCCTCTTTCCTATCAAAGTGCTAGCTTGAGCCGCCAAAATTCGACAAGTGGTGGCGGTTACAATGGAACTGGAAAGCCATCAGCTTTGCTTAATAATGCTAATAACAACAACGATACTAGAGCTTCGCCAAGTAGTAGTACTAACTCACGGCCGCATTCAATAAAACGTGGCGCAGGAGGAGGAGGAGGCGGGGGCGGAGGTGTATCCAATGACAAACCACAGACTCCGTTACTAAGTGGCCCACCCAGTTTTGTAGGCGGCACTAATATACAGAACAACAATAACAGTTATCAGGCTATTCCTAATGCCGACATGGGTACTGGAAATATTCCTATAGTTAATGTTTCTAAGCCACCAATACGTTTGAATGCAGCTGCTGCGGCATTCCGTCAAAAGGGCACTACTAATACTGGTGGCGGTGGTTCAGCTGTCGAATACCGACGCAATCCGACATCGCAACGCAATTCGCCTGGAACAAATGCCAGCAGCAGTAATGACAACAGCAACAACAATTCGCCCAACAGTATACACAACTCTTCCAATGCTGCCACACCCATAGCTGCTGGATGTTATGCACCATCGTACATGATCAATGCTCAAAATAATGGCGGTGAACCAGCTCCAACGCATCCACCATCTCTTTATATAACAACTGCACCTGCTCGAGGACCTGCACACATTCCACCACATTTACAATCAGCTGCAGCAAATGGTGCTGCTGTACCGGCAGCAGCTGCGGCAGCTACTGCAAGCGTACCCCAACAAGCAGCTACAGCTGTTTTAGGTGGAGCTGCTGCTGCAGCAGCAGCGGCTGATGTGGCAAATGCTGCCGCTGTAGCAGCCGCAGCTGCTACTGTTGCTCATCACCATCATCACCAACCGCTGTTGGGTACCTACAATCCGGGTGCATCAGGATTGTACTTCAAATACGGACACACGTATTTTGCCCATGTACGTATTAAGGTCTAAGATATTCCCTTCTAACTAATACACACAAACATTATTTTTTGCGGTTTTAACACCTTTTTCCATTCTAACAAAAATAAATACATATTTTATTTGTAAACGATTTTAAGTTCTAACTATACATACAAATGTACTTGAATAATCTGATAACTGATATTATCATTTAACGCAACTTTTTGATTATGATGAAACTGTTTATATTTTGATTACTATAGTAATTCAGTTATGTATTTTGGTAACGGTATTCATTTTGTATTTTAAAGGTAAAACTAACATTATAAAACCCAACATAAATATGGTAATTTTATATGCCATTTAGGACTTAGGGAAAAGGATATAAAGGGATTTCAGTGGGTTTTATTGCTAAAAATTAAATTGTCCTAAATAAAATGTCTAATAAAACCACATAAAGAAAATACTTTTTAAATTTTATGAATTAAAAGAGTTAAGATGGAAATTATTTGCATGACTAAAAAATAAAATAATGTACTTAAACGGACATTGTACTAATAATAAAAACCTAATTTGAATTTATAACTTTTATTATAAGAAACTTCTATTAAAAATGTTAAATTTAAAATGTCTATTTATATAATTTTTCTTATTGTACTTATGGTTATTTTATTATTTGCAGCCTTCCGTAGCTTTACCAAATAGTCGCCGTTCTCCATCGACAGATTTGAGACCTCCGATTGCACAAATGGCTGGAATGTATCCCACAGTCAACATGATGATACCAGGTATGATACATTTCTCAATCAATATTAACTATTTGTTATCTTGAGTGTTTTCTTTTTAAACATCAACAGCTCAACCGCGACATCCAGGACGACATCCAAATCCAAATTATAAAGGAACACGGCCCCGTTGATACACGCGTTTATATTGATGACATGGTTGTCTCAACAATATCGAGGATTAAAAACACAATGACGCTATACCAAAAACCTTAATATAGAATAACTTAAGTTTAATTAAACAACTATAGAAATACAAAAGGATAAAAACAAAAACAAACAAACAAAACATACTTATGTAACTAATATAGAAAATACATTAAGTTTAGTTAACAATAATTATACAAAATTACAACCATACAACCAACTAAAATACAATAGAAGAAATTCTACAACGGTTAAAGAATCAGTAAAGAATAATCTCTTCCGCCCCCCTTGGGGACAAGGAAAAATGAAAATCAGATGAACATATATTTAATATTTTATATTTTCCGGCCTATTTTCCCAAAACAAGACAAGAATATGGGAGACATACAATACATATAAAAAAGTAATTTTAATTTAATACGAAAAAATTGGCTTTAATAGGTAGAGAAAAACAAAAATCTCCTCATACACTCATCTACACACAAAATTTTAATCAATAATAGACATCATCAAATACACACCAACCAACGAACACATTCATTCTTTACGTAAATACAAACATTCATCCATAGGTCGACAAATGAAAATATTATATTAATAAAATTCTACTACAATATCAGCGGAACTATACGATTAAATAAGAATTACAATAATGCAATCGAAGGATCAATTCAAATACATAATAAACTGAAAAACTAAGTACATATTCGTACAACTGTATTGGAAATAAGAGATAACTGTGACATAATTCTTGATGAAGAAGAGTTAAAGACTTTTAAACGTTGAGAAAGATAAAGAACTATCAGATGCGTAGCAGCAATTGTGTGCCATTTAGAGAACAAAATTTCAGTCATTTAATACTATAGAAAGAAAAAAAACTACAAATTCAAAATAAACTAAACTTGAAATGAAATCACAGAAACACACATAGAAACTCCACATAGAAACCACCCACATTTTCTCGACAGTCAAATTTTACATCAAACTCTCATACACAGACACACACGTACATAAATATATATTTATATAAAATAATTAACTTAATTATTATAATAATTATAATTATAACACACATACACATATATATTATATATAATTATATAATTTAACTCTATACACAAACACAAATGCTAAAACAAACAAACCAACAACAAACATACAAAAACAACAAACCTATAAAAAATATATTAATTTTATAGTATTTAAAGAAATGACATTTACTATATATACATAAAATATATATATACATATTATAATTAAATATTATTATTATTTATAGTTACCTAAGGTAGCATAATGAAATTATAAAAAAAATAAAATATAAAAAAAATTAAAAATACAAAAATCCCTTATTTTATTGAAATTGTGTTCATAAACTTCGAAATAATCGCATGTCTTTCATAAGTTCGATTCGATTTGTAGTTATTTTTTATTGACACATTTGAGTTATTCTTATTTCTAACCATTCAATTAAAAATTATAATTTGTTTTATTTTTAAATATCAGTTATTAATTGTAATTTCTATAAGCTGCATACATACATCTGTACATATTTAAATTTTGTTTTTCAATTTATTCGTTTTCATTTCTGCATTTGATTAAATAACCTTTTAGTTTTATTTAATACAAATTTATTTTAATATGTATTAATTGCAACATCAATCATACTACATACATACATACATACATTTGCATGAATTGTTATCTTTTTTTAAATTAAAACATAAATAAATTCCTGCAAAAAAATACAAATGCAAATATTACAAGAAATATTTATTTTTCGTATTTTATTCCTAATGAAAATCATTTGGCTTAATTTCATTTTATCCATAGCATTCCATTCGATTCCTTTTAGTTTGACATAATAACAATTCGTGTGACGCACAGTGGTTGAGAAACTTTTATTTTTGGAATTAATTCTGACACACAAAGCTCTTAAAGGAAAGGGTCTAAGCTTTCTTTTGAGCAAAAAAAATAACAAAAACGTCTATTTTGAAAAAATAGGGGAAAATTAAGTGGCAAATACTGTAAAAAATCTTATTCTTGAGTCAAAAAATAATTTTTTTGATAGATATCCCACTCGCATCCCATTATGAGAGTCTAAAGCCCTTAAAGGAAATTATATAAGCTTTCTTTTGAGCAAAAAAGGGCCCACTTTAAAAAAAAATATTTAAAAAATAAATAAAATAAATTTAAAAAAAATATTTTTTTTGAAACAATGAAAAAATACCTATCTGCTGTAGCCCTATATGGTCCTTAAATATATCTTAAATCTTTTGAAAAACCTTTTTTTCCGCTTTAGGAATTTTGGTATTTGTATGAGAACTATTACCAATAGTGTTATTTTAGAAAGATTCAGAAATATATAAGGGCCATTTCGTGTCAAGTGACCCAACTTTTAAAATCAATGTCTTATGATTTTGATAAATTTTGCACCAATGTTAGTACTAATAGATAGACAAATTTTCAGCGCTATCTTGGTGCAAATTTCGTCAAAATCGATTTTTTGAGTTGGGTCACTTGATATTAAGTTTCCCATATCGTTAGCTTAGTACGCAAACGTAACAAGTCCTATTTAGTAAATTTTATAGGAGAAGCAAAAAATTTCATAACTTTTTTTGTATTTCATACTTTTAAAATCTGTAAACGTAGTTTTCTTCTTAGATTTCTCCTTTTTTAATATCAGTTGTTAAACAATTTAAAAATAATGCAGTTGAATACTTATGCCGGTTTTTTTAGGACTTAGCACATTTTCATTTTCTGAATTTTTAATTTTTTTCTGGACTTAGCACATTTTCTTAGAACTTTTTCCTTACATACAGGTTCAATTTTGAACAAGTGTTTTGCTGTGTCTTTCGGACGTAGTGTATAAAATTTCTCATGATCCCCATACAAGTGGCTCCTCGAGATTAAGAGATTAAACAGATATAAATATGATGAGTAGCTAGTAATCGTGAGCAAATTTGAACTAAGTTGTTTTTATGTATTCAAAAATGATATACTGAAGAATTGCGGACATCGGGCTTTATTTGATCCTAGCACCCATATAAGATCCCCTTCAGGAAAATTATTTTAACGCTCATAAATGCATTAAACATATCAGTAAAGCTTTGAAATTCTATATAGAAAAAACTTTAATGAACTTAAATCGCTACACTAAATTTTATGAGTATCGGTCCATATTTGACCATAGCTCCCATATAAATTACCCTTGAAAAAAAACACTCTAAAGCTTATAACTGTTTTAAAATACCAGAATATTTATGTTGAAAATGTTGGTCCGATATCTTTGTCCGATCAAATTTTTCATTATTTCAAATTTTATATTTGTGATTAAAAAAACTCCATATTAGGATTTTTTAACTTTTTCGTAAATGGTGTTGTAATAAAAAAATACATTACATATATTATATATCGAGCCCTTTTTGCAAAATGGACGTAAGCGACATGATTTTCGTTTTTTATAGAAATCGATAATTTATGTCCATCAGCATCATCTCTGAAAATTTCGTAGCTATAGATCCAATGGTTCCAACTTTTATTTTCTGTTTTTGAATTGTGTAATAGCAAGGTGTCGGTTAAGTCTAAATTTTCTTTTAAAATATATTAAATTTATAGAAAAATTTTGAACAAATTAAGGTATTAAATTTCTGAATGAAATGCCATATATCTGAGTATAATTGTTATAAATCCATGTTATTATCACTATACCATTGCAATGTATGTGCTGAAATTTATAATTTTCTAAAACCTTTTATGAATTTAGTTCATTTTAATTACTAATTACATTGCATTTATATTATTATCATTTAACCAACTCTTATATTTGGTCGTAAGTTTGTGGATTTCGGAAGGCGGACCTGTATATAGACTCTTAATGAATCGATACTACCAGAACTTACTTATTTATTCGATATATGGCGAATTGTACTACCATGTATGGATATTAATAGGGATATCTGGGTGATTTTCAGAATACGGCCTTTAACGAGGGATTTGGTCAATTGTGAACCAAGGTCTTTAGAAAACAAATCATTTTTGTAGAATTTTATCATACTTTCTTAATTTTTGAAAGATTTATTAACTGTAAAGTTATTTTCTGTCTGAGGGGCTTATAAACCCATCCTAAAACATCATAATACATCAAATTTCGCTGCTATATTGATATTTTAAGTTAGCTATGGTCATAAAGTCATTTTCTTAAAGTATCCATATATGGAGGCTAGGTTCAAATATTGCCTGACATCTGTCATACTTCCCAACATAATTTATAGGTATATAAAACTGACTTCTGCAAAATTGTATAGCGATTGCTACATAAACAACATATTTATTAATGTTTTAACTATATTCCGGAGAGCACTTGGGGCTAAGTGAAATCATGAACAAATATTGCCCATTTTTTACACTAAATAATATTTGTCATCAATGAGCATTTTTGGAGAATTTCACCACTCTAGCTCCTAACGTTCGGAACCTATCCCGTTTTCAACAAACAGACTGACATACGGACATCGCTAGATGATCTTAAAATCTTATAAAAAGATATTTATTACACTCTTAATTTCAGATACATATATACAAATTATATACCCAGCAAAAAAATTTTGCAGTAGTGCAAAGTGAATGCATGTTTCATGACTTCTATAATAACAGTGCTAATACAACTCATTCTAAACGCGTTCCTAAATTCAACCATTCCGCAGTTAAAAAATTCCTTTAAAACTTCAAAAATTAATTCAGATTGTTAATTTAATCAAAGGAAATTTATGTATTATTAGAAATATTTTTAATTAAATTTTTTATAATATTTTCCTTAAAAATCTTTAAAATATCCTCCAAAAATACATACAAAACAAATAGCTTGAACTAATGAAACATCGTTTTCGAATCATTGAAATTGCATTGGTTCGATTATTCCAAATTCTCGCATAAACACATGATCTCCAATGACACGCTAATGTTAAAATCATGCATGTTTCACCTAAATCGAACCACTTCGTCATCACTTGCACCTCTGATTAAACAACATCTTTGTTATGTAAGTTTTTGCTGGGAAGTATTCTATTTAATACGTTTTAAATACATGCCTAAATTCTAATAAATTTGTCATCAGTGAAGGCATGAAAAAGTGCACCCAAATTCACTTATGTAACTCCACTATAGGAATTGTAATATTTTACTATAATTTGGTATTCTCTTAGGAGATTTAACGAAAACGTGCATTTCATACAATAAATATTAAAAATGACATTAATTTTTTATTAGATTTTTGTTAAAATTAGTAATATTAAGTCCATTTTAACATTAATAAGAGAAGGAAAAAACCAAGACTGCATAACGGATTTTAAAACACAATGGGTATATTTCCTCTGCATGAATTTAAATCCAATCAAAATCAGTTAATTTTTTTTTATCTTATTTTATTTATATCAATATAACGCAAAAAAATCAATTTAAACATTAATAATTAAATAGAAATACCATTATTAATGCATTTTTAAATAAATATAGTGCACCAATGAAAATTCGCTTGAGAATCATCGAATGTTCATTGGTTATAAGAACTCATTAAAATGACGAACTATTTTTGCAAATACGAATGACACGCTAATGTTAAGATCATGCATGTTTGCCCTAAATATGAACCAGTTCATTATCAGTTCAACCCATGCATTTACTCCTTTTTCTGCACGTCTTTTTTGCTGGGAAAATACGTATAGGAAATTATCTCAATATTTTAATAAATATATAATGCATATAACAGATCTTTTATTAGAACAACATTAACGAAAAAGTTCAAAAATGGGAAGTCATACTATTTTTCTGAAAGGTGGATCCGAGTAGAACAATAATCTGTTTGTTTCTTGAGATACGGGTGTTTT